ATGCTGGTAAGATAAGCCGGGAACACGGTTCGCTTACGGGGAAAATGAAAGGAGTTATGACATTTGAGAGAGAGCTTCTTGAACATATTGATATGTTGAAACTTGCTAAAGAGGAGAATGATACAGAGTTAGAATCGGTGTGAGTTTTGTACTCATTTCTTAAAAATATAGGCTTGTGTTTACTAATTTATCGGAATGTTTCGGCTCGTAGGTTAAATCATAGGGGAATTACTTGAGAATCATAGGTTAAATTTTGCTTTGTTGTAATATTGGTAACCATGATTATTTGTTTCTGGTGCAGGAAACATTGAAGGCAATGATGGATATGAGGAGAGTTTCAAAAGAGAAAGAACTTGAGGCTTTATTATCTGCGGAGAATGATCCGTGTTCCTGTTATATTGAGGTGACTATCGGAGAAAATATGTATGAGATTTTTCTGTCTCTGATTTCATATTATAAATCTGGAAGGTTTGTTGAATAGGTTCAAGCTGGAGCTGGAGGAACAGAGAGCAATGATTGGGCATCTATGGTAATGGAAATGTATAAAACATGGGCTCAACGACGTAAATTTTCAGTCACTGTGGTTGATGAAGCGGCTGGGGAAATAGCGGGAATCAAGGTTTGCTTTTAATTATCTTTATATATGAATTGAATTGTGCATTTTGTATTAGAGGAATCTGATAGAATCCAAACCGGTTAACTTTTGTTTATTCACTTCAGCTAGAAATACACATCATAGAGAGACCTAGCCAAATCCTGAATTCCACTCAACTTGTTCAGCCCCAATGTCTTTATAACATGTTATATCTCTAGCTAACCGAGTCAACTATTATTGCCGAGCTGTCTATGTAGCTACCACTACAAACCACTTAGGCTAATTACAATGCTCCTGCACTAGACTACCAGTTGGCTCACTTATCGAACCAATTGTGTAGTTTGGTTTATCTCATGCTAAAACTCATGTTCTGTCAGTGGCAATTGGTAAAGTACTATAATCTAAAATTTTGAAATGCTGGCTTACGATTGATCCAATGTCTTGACCAGCGTGCGACGATCAAAGTTAATGGTGAATATTCATATGGATACGCCAAAGCAGAAGTTGGAGTTCATAGGCTAGTGCGTATATCCCCGTTTGACAGTGGAAAACGGAGGCACACTTCGTTTGCAGCGGTTGCGGTGATTCCAATTCTAGGTGATGGTTCAACCCGAGTGCAGATCAATGACTCGGATCTCCGGATCGAGCGGTTCCGTTCTGGAGGAGCCGGTGGACAGCACGCTAACACGACAGACAGTGCTGTGAGAATCATTCACATACCAACTGGCATAACAGCAACTTGCCAGAATGAAAGGTCTGGTTTCAATTCCACTCTTCGTTTCTCCTAATTAAACAGACTTTTGGCTAGGGCTGGCTTTGTTTTTTCGGTTTTTTTTTTAACAGTTTTGAGAGATCTATATAGAAGTAGGACAGAATCTGGTTTTGAGAAATGTGTAGGACAGATTGTTTTTGATTCATTTTTAAAAACTCGTTCTGTTCGATTTAAAGTGAAATTGTGTTGGTTTTGGATTGGATTGGTTTTTATGCCCATCCTTGATTTTGGTATGCAGGTCGCAGCATATGAACAAGGCTTCAGCAATGGCGGTACTACAATCACGTTTAGACCAACTGGAGATGGCTCGTCAGACAGCCATGAATGCTCAACATACGCAATCACTAACCGAAATCAGCTGGGGAAACCAGATACGAACTTATGTTCTTCATGTATGTAGATACCGAATTCACACATTTTCGGTTGTAATTTGAGTTTATCCGACAACGAGCTGAGTAACTATTCTTTGTTTTTGTAGCCATACAGAATGGTGAAGGATCTGCGAACAAACTACGAAGTCTCTGATCCCGACTCGGTTCTTGAAGGAGACTTAGATGGTTTCATCTTGAGCTTCTTATCTTCTTCTTTAGACAAAGATGATCCAGAACATTAGTTTAGAGATGTTGACATGATTGTCTCAAAAGAGTTATTCTTATGTTACTTGAAACGTCTTTTTATTTACTTAACTCCGAAAGGATTTAGATTGGCGCAGACTCATTCATTGTTTTTAAAATGGCTTCAGTAAAATCTTTATAATCCAATATTTAGTTCTAGCATTTGTAACTACTTTCATTAATAAAGATCTGTATTCCTAAAACCATGAAACACTAGTAATGTGTTTTTTTTTTCGGTTTGGAAATTATGATGACTAAAAATTGTAAAATTTTATGAACTAACAATTGTAATTTCACTTTAAACGAGATAAAGTGCGATGAATTTATTCAAAAAAGGAACAAACTTTATTAAAATCCAAACAAACTTTATTGAAATCCAGAATAAACTAAAAAACACCTAAAATCCAAACAGTAAACCAAATAATTGCTAACATAATAATATCTAAAGAAAGATAAAAATCCTAAATCAAATCGAGAACTATGAAACTCAGACCCTAATGTTGCTGGAAACTATTTCCTCCCCCGGAAAGAAATGTCTGTTAAGCAACATAACAGAATCGGCAGCAATAGGCTCGTTGTCTTGGTTCCTATGCCATGTGTACTGCGCGTGAGTCCTGTTCTTAATCTCTAAAACCGCGTGACCAAAACTCGCCTCTCTATATGCCGAGTAACTCGGTTGTGGATCCACGAAACTGCATAAACAAAGACACACAAATATTAGTTTCATATCACCAAAACAACAAAATATTATTTAAAAAATTGTTTAAATTTTTGACCTATTTGCAATTCCTTCAATGTTTCCTCCATCTCCGATAGTGATGTAAATAGGAGCAGAAAGATCTTTCACAGGAGAGCTCAACCCATTGGTGATGTTGTACTTAATATTAGAGATACGTTCGGATCTCTCATAGGCATGAACATGACCCGACAAAACCAAATCGACCTTGCTATTAACGAGCCACGACTCAAACATAAGTCTCATGCTCTCACCTTCCATGTAATGGTAGTTATTACTGTTGTACCACGGAGAGTGAACCATGACAATCAACCATGGAGTCTCTTCTCTGTTCACATTCTTCAGCTCTTGCTCAAGCCAAATGTATTGAGGCGTGTATTTTCCTAAAATGACATAACATGTTATATAAAAAAAAAAACTCAAATAGCATTAAGATATATTTGGGTTTTCATGTGCTTGTTAATTACCATAGGCCGAGTAAGAAGAGAGGACGATGATGTGAGCAGAAGCACGTCTAACTGAGTACCAAAGAGGAGAAGTGCTCTGTGAAGCTTTGTAAGCATTGGGGTAACGGTGAGTGTATGGCTTGAAGGCGTGAGGCTCACCCTAGTAAGATTTAAGTGGTTAAACATAAAGTATTAAACCAAATAACAAAAAGACAAAGATTATAAAGATTTATTATGTGAATCTTACTATGTTAGGAACGAAATCAATCTCATGATTTCCGGCAGCAAAGATGAAGGGCTGGTAAGCAGCGCAAGGCTCCATAAATCTTCCCCAAGTATCCCACTTTCGTTGGTCATGATTCGGGTGGTCGTCTGCGTATGACAAGTCTCCGGCAAATAGAACAGCTTGGCCTTTAGGATTCGACATGTAATGATACAATGTCTCATTTGAAGCATAAGTTTGTCCAAGATCACCTACAAACAAAATTTATTAGATCGATTTAAAATCTCAAATGTTAATGATAGTTTTCGATCAAGATGTATAAAACAAAAAATGTACCAATGATGCCGAACGTGTATGGAACATCGGGTCCGATCTTTGGAGGAGTAGTGAAGGAGAATTGTCTAACGGATTTATCGGTACCAACCTCATAGATGTATTTGGTATCATACTGCAATATAATATAGATACAATTATAGAAACTATAGAATTTTTTTTTTTTTTTAAGTGTTGTTAAATGAATAAAAAATGATGCTATAGAAAGTACAAACCTCGAGTCCATTAATGGTGGCGTGATGCAGAAATCCAGAAGCATAGTCATAGAATCTGTACGATTTCGTGGAAGCGTGAGCTCTCTTTTTTGCTGGCTTTATGTCACTACCATTAGTAGCGATCCAGTAAGTAACAATGTTAGAACCAGCGAGGTTTAACGGCGTGACCCACGAAACAATCATGCCATGCCCATCATGGTCTCCTTGAGTCAGATGAACCTAAAAAAACCACCAACAATAAAAAAAAAAATCAATACGAATCTTATTGTTTGGTCACGATATAAACGATAAACCATTCATGTAACTCATTTGAAACACACATATTAACACACAAATGACCATACAGAATTTTGTAGGACGAACGTTTTTTGAAATGATCTAAGAACAGGTTACTAGCTCGATCGAGATTAAAATAACTAAATCAAACCTGTTCAGGAGTGTTATAACCAGCAGGGGAAGGGAAAGTTTCGAGAGACATTTCAATGGATGGTAAAGCTTGGCGAACAAATTCACTTGTTGTTCCACCATTGATCACTATGGTATAGCTTAAGAACAAGAATGCGAATATAACAAGATTCGCCATGTTTGATAAGTTTTTCTTTTTGCTTCTAAGATTTCTAAGGTTGTGTGTTTATGAGTAATGAGGTGAAGTTTATATATAAGTTAATTAAGGGTGTTTTAAAAAAAAACAAAAAAAAGAGATAAAATCGAATTCTAAGGAATATGCTAGTACAAAAAGATTTTGTTCCTTATATTTAGTTAAGAATATTATTGATAAGATGACAAAAAAAATATATATATATATATATATTATTGATATTTTTTTAAAATCTCGTTTAGTTTGCTAATATCATCTATATTGTTCAGGAATCAGGAACAAATAGAAAGAATATTTATACTTATGCTTACAGTTTTCTAATTTGTTACTTCTAACTGATATTTTAATATTTACTTAGTTTAAGTTACCAAAAAAAATGTCGTCAATGAAGAATAATAAACGAAATTAGGGTTTTGTGTCTAAACCCTAAAAAATGTTTTATTTATCTCTCGCCTCCCCCATTTTTTTGTCTTTTGGATTTTTATGGAAGTTAACGAACAGAACAGAGAAGCAGACTCTTAAATAGGCAACCATAATTTTTCTGAAAAGGCTTTGTCAGTTGTCATGTATTCTCTGATTCTTCTTGGAAAAAGATCTATCGAGTTGCAAAAATGGCGTAATTTGAGAGTTTCAGTGAAGCTTGTGCAAAACGTAATCTCTGTTTTTGCCAGTTCCTTCTCCTCTGTTAGTGCTGATGATGTGAGCCTTCGAGATGCTCAAAAAGAGCCGAAGTTTACAGTCTCTTACCTTGTTGATTCAGTTGGTATACCGATAAAACTCGCAGAATCAATCTTGAAGGAAGTCAGCTTAAAGGACGAGTGCAATCCCAATTCTGTTCTGAATCTTCTTAGAAGTTATGATTTTACAGATTCTCAGATCTCACGCATCATTAGGACTGGTCCAAGATTGCTCTTGGAAAATGCTGAGAGTTCTCTTGGTCCCAAGCTTAAGTTTTTGAAGTCCAGAGAAATTTTAAGCTCTAGGCTCAATGACATTGTTACTAGAGTTCCGAATATCTTGAGGATGAAAGAGGAAAAAGATATGATCACATACTATGATTTTGTTAAAGCCATTATATCAGTGGGTTCGTGATAGGAGACCAGAGGAGGAAGGTGCGGGTGATGAGATGGCAAGTGAGGTTGCAACAAGGAGATCAGTCCACGTCAGCCGAATCGCAAGTACCTGAACTGACGAAGTCTTGCGACTTCTTTCTTTTGTTTTGTTTGCAACAATAATTGAGAAATAGTCATCCTCATTTTGAGGAAAGCATTTCTCCATCTTTTCACTTCTTGTTTTGTAGGAGCAATGACTCCACTTTCTGTTTCTTGTTATTTGCTTCATTGTAATCTTTCGTCTATTTAAGAAATTAGAAAACAACAAAAATAGGTACTCTTAACTACCAGTCTATTCTTGTGTCTCTTACTCTGAAGAGGGACCTTAACATTTTAACACTTAGGATTTCTATAAGGTATGCGAACTTTATCCAAATATTGAAGAAATCCATTATGAAGGTTATTGAGATGAGTTTCGATCCGTTCGCCCCAAGAATTATCGATGCTAAAATTGTTGTTTACACATTAAGCAATGAAACAATAGAAGAAAGAGTCTTTACCTATAAAATGGTAGGCTTTGATGTATGGGAAATGTTCAAGAAGTGTCCTTTTCTGAATATCTCGGAGAAGACAATAACTCAATGTTTTGAAACCTTGAAGAAGTGTGAATATCTCCACAATGTATTGGTTTTTCAGAGCTGGAGATAACTCAGAGTTTTGAAACCTTGAAGAGTGTGGATTAGTCGAAGATGAGGTCGAAGATGAGGTCCTCTCTATGTTCAAGAAGTATCCGCGATGTATTGGTTTTTCTGAGCAGAATATATTGAACTCCGTTGAAACATTTTTAGGCCTAGGATTCAACAAAGATGAGGTCATGATGATGGTCAAGTGCTATCCTCCATGTCATAATTTATCAGCAGAGTCAATTAAGAGGAAGACTGAGTTTCTTGTATAGAAAATGAATTGGCTACGAGAGGGCGTGCTTTTGATCCCTGTGGTACTTGGATGCAGCATGGTAAATAGGATTTTACCAAGGTGCAATGTCATCAAAGCTCTTATGTCCAAAAGATTGCTCAAAACTAAAGTCTCTTCAATGTCTTCTGTCTTGATGAGGTGTTTCTTGGAAGATATGTGAGGAAGCATGATGACAGCTTGTGGATGAGTTTATGGCTATTTTCACTAAAGATCAGTAACTTTCCAACAATTACTAAGTTTCTTGTGGGTTCGAATTATTTCTTTATTTTCACTAAAGATCAATAACTTTCCAGCAATAAGTTTCTTGTGGATTGCGAATTATTTTGTCATGGAAGCTGCTTCTAAATTAATTTAGACAAGTTATCAAAGTTTACTTGCTCACCGATACAAAATGTTTATATCGGAAACGATAAAATCTACCAAGAAATAAGGGCCAAATGATTTTATATAAACGAACTTAGATGCTATGCCTAGAACTATATATACATGAACTAATTTAAAATTTTGAATTTACTACATGAATTACAAAAGTATGATCGAACCCAACATTGTCACTCAAAACGTCGTTATTTTAATATTAAAAAGAAAATTACAAAAAAAGAGAGCGCAAATCCAATTTTTCCCATTTTTTGGGTCGAAATAGCGCAAAAATCCAAGTTAATTTGCGAAACAAATTAATATATTTATGACGTTTCCATATTTCGATTTTGCAAATAAATGACCAAGCTATAATCATTACTGCAATTACTTTGTTCTCTAACCCATGCTTTGAAGTAAAATATTTTTTGTTGATAATTTCAGTTCGATATACTTTAATTTAAATCTAGGCACCTGTTTCAGTATAATTGAAGTTTGAGTTAGTCATGATTCTATGATAGAGCACAAGTTAATATAGTTTAATATGGTTTGATTGTTTTGGGAAGAATTTATAAACGAATTTAAACTAATGATTCGTTAAAGATATGTTTTGGTTTTAACATTTTCCTTTAGGTTTGGATTGTTCTTGTAATCTTGTGTGTTCTTTAACATTTTGGAATATTCGGATTTTGTGTGCTAAATAAGGGATTGCTTTTGGGATTTGTTTGTTTTTGACTAGATTTTTGCAACTGAATGTAAAGCAATGAATCATGTTTTTCGCTTAACATGTTTTTAAATTAATCATGTTAAACGATAATTAATGTTTTTCGTTTAACATGTTTTTAAATTAATGATTTATTTAGTTTTTGGTGTATTTCGGTAACATTCTTCTATATATGATTGCTTGGAAAAAAGAGATTAGTTTTAGACTTTTAGTACTCCACTACGATCAATATTAGTATTTTCTTAATAAATGATATTCGATTTTTGATTAATTATATATTCAATTATTCAATAATTGATTGAGAATGAGAAACGAAGATTTGATTCTATACTTGAAGTGATATGAAAGTTTATACACATGCAACATTAAATACTCAAGAAAGCGAAAAACAACTTTCAAGTACCAATAACATATTCATATACCGGAAAGTCGGCCATTTCATACCCGATCTAAACTCAAGTGTTCAATTCATACCTAACAGTTTCTTATGTGTTAAAATATACTCAACATTTTTTTTTTTTTTTTGTAAACCATTACTTAATTAAGGTAGCTCAAACTCCATAGAAGGAGGAGAAAATACATGAAGCAAAGGCGTTTTCAAAACGCAACAACAAAAGGAAACGAAGACGGAGAGTCTTGGTCTTCATACGTTTGATATCAGCAATGAAATCGTCAACTGCAAATGCATGGCCACCGACATTGAGAAGAAGGGGGAATTCTTGCCAATCCGAATAATAAGCCATCCTTGAGACACCCACCGCTAAGGCTGCGATGATCGCCACCTTCAAAGCAAGTTCCTCTACCAGAGCAAAGGAGACAACGGGTCGGAGAGATGATCCAAATTGGATCGATGCCTTAAGTGGGTCCTCCATGCCTCCATGAACCACCCCATCCCGTAGCCAATGGACATAGACGTCCATGATGCGTTGGGAAGACAGGCAAAGGTGTCTTGATGCTCTTCTATCATCTGTAAAGGTTGCTGGAATGGATGGAAGATTTTATCACAAAGGACCTCAAATTTACCACCATCCTTAACCACAGAGAAAGTTAAAACAAGCCTAACACCGTCCTTAAAACAAGGAAAATCGAAGTCACCATAGAAGTGATCCGAGAGATAACCTGAGACAAACAAATTCACACCAAAGCCAAAACCAACAGTCGCCAAAGACTGTCTACAAAGAGGCATACTTCCGATAAGAGACATTACATCCATACTAACAAGGCTTCGATCAAATCTGATAAGTCTATCATCCTCATACTGAGGTACGAACCTCATAAAGAGGTAAAAGGGAACTAACAGAGGATCGTTTCTATACCATTGGACAACGCACAAGAGGGTAATAGAGACCAAACCTTCTGACGTCAAGTTGAAGGGGAGGGGAGACATTGGAATCCAAGGATGCTCGCTGAAGAGAGAACAGATCTGATCCTTATCCAAGGAGAATCCGGCGAGAGCTGCGTCGAGAATGAGGTGAAGCGAGTGAGACAGCGAAGTGGTGACGAGAGCCTCTAAGCATCTACGCCTTGGTGGAGAATCCGGTGGATTTGGGGGTACTGGAGGGTACGGTGGTGGAGGTGGATTAACTGTCGGTTCTGGAGGAAGCTTCAGTCCGAGAGAGGTGAGGAGGGTCGACGAAAGAAGATGCGCAGGCTTCTGGGATACCACCCAAGAGGAACCAGCCATCTCTCCGGAAACAGGAGGAAGACACATACAAGACCGAAAGACCATCGGAAAAACGCCGGACCACGCCGGTAAGAAAACGAAAAAGCGCCGGAAAAACAAACCGGAAGCAACGCCGGAAGAGCCGGAACGGAACCGGAAGACACCAGAGATCGCCAATCTAGAGGAAAGCTGCTGCCGGAGAAGCCTCGCCGGTGAGAAAAGCCATGGAGAAATCTTCAATCGGCGCCTCGAACTGTGGGCCTGGGAGAGAAATCAATCGACATTTATATTAAAGATCGAGCTGGTGTCTGGTTCTCAATGGGTTCTAAAATAACTAAAAATTACACTCTTGAGTCTTGAGGATTTGTTTTGATTCACTTTATTTTTAGTTTATATCTTTTTTTCATCACTAAACATTTAGATCACATACTCAACATTTTCAAAAATTCAAATTTACTAAGTCATGCGAAATTATACATTCTGCTGACGTAGATGCCATGTCGTTGATGATGTTGATGACGCGGTTGCCACGTTCTTGATGACGTCGTTGCCACGTCATCATCACCTTTAGAAAATAATTATTTTTTCTTGACTTTTTTCGTCTTCAATTAAATCATTTAACAAAACTGTAGAAAACTTATTTTTTATATAAAGATTTAAAATCTTATTTCGATACTAATAAACTATATTTAAACCGATTTTATAATCTCTACAACGTATTTATTGGGATAATTGTATTTTAAGAACATAATACAATTTTTTATTAATAGTCATTGACAATTAGGGTTGTTTGAATTACGAATTTTGAGTTTATAAACTCGATTTAAATAATATATTCGGTTGAAATACTGGTTATAAGGATTGAAAATAAGATTTTAAATGCTTACATCAAAAAATGTAATTTTTTCACACTTCTCTCGGATGATAGTTATGAAGAAGAAAAAGATTAACAGATAAAAAAATATTTTTCTAAGGTGATGATGATGTCATTGCCATGTCACCAAGGACGTGGCAGCCGCGTCATCAACATCATCAACGACATGGCATCGGCGTCAATAAAATGCATAATTTCGCATGATCTGGTAAATTTAGGTATGAAATTTAAATTTTTTAAAAAATTGTGTATATTATCGCACATAAGAAACTGTTAAATATGAATTAAACACTTGAATTTAGGTCAGGTATGAAATGACCGACTTTCCTTCGTATACCCATATAACAAACTTCCCATAAACGCCCTAATATATGACTAAATACGAATAAAAGTATTACTATAGTGAGTATGACCTATATAAATGTTATTTTCTATACTATACTTAAAACTTAATTATTATTGTTATTTTTATAACGTAAAAAGTTATTCAATAAAATTTAATTAAATATCTAATTATTTTATTTACTTTATTGCATATCACTAAGTTGTACTTTAAACATATGACAAAAAATCTACTTAGGAATTTTACTAGTGATAGAAAATTATATAAATCAATATTTATTTATTTTACATATATATCTTATTATAATACATATTTTCACCAATAGAAAATTATATAAATCAATATTTATTCATTTTTATCTTATTATATAATTATATTGCAAGATTTTCAAATTAATAAAATTAATATTTATATCCATAATATTTAACTAACGTTACCAAACTGGCTTTAATACTTAAATATCTACAGAAAAATCTACAACTACAGATAGCACAACTACAAAAACAAACCTATAATGTGATTGGTTGGGCGCTAACTCCTTTATAGAGCCCTTTTTATTTTTTCTAAAGCCACAAATATGTACTAGTCATGCTCCGGCTTTATTTTTAAAGTTAAAGTCCAATTTTTTTTATCTTTTTTCTTTGTTGTAGTAACTAAAATCAACAACCAAGAAACTCTAGATTCTAATGTTGCCGGAAACTATTTCCTTCACTGGAAAGAAGTTTTTTTGTGTGCAAAAAATAGAAACAATAGCAACAAGCTCATTGTCTTGGTTCCTATGCCATGTGTATTGCACATGAGTCCTATTCATAATTTTCTAAAACTTGCCTCTCTATCAGACCCGGCTCAAATTTTTACAAGGCCCAGAGCTAAAAAAAGACAAATGATATGAAATGAACAACTTGTTTTAATTTAAGTATTTAACATATATTTTATATTAATCAATCATTTCTAATTATAAAATATCTATACACCAAAAGTTAAAACAATGTGGGTGATTTGTTGGTTGTATCTGTAGATTATTTGTTGTACAATTTGGTTGTAAGTGTGTAAGTTGTAGTTGTAGATTTTTTTATTATTGTATAATCAAGATAAGAAGGGCAATATCAAACCTGTTCAGGAGTGTTGTAGCCATCAGGAGAAGGGAAAGTATCGAGAGACATCTCAATCGATGGTAAAGCTTGGCGGACAAATTCACTTGTTATTCCACCATTGATCACAGTAGTGATGCTTAAGAACAAGAAGACGAATATAACAAGATTCTTCATGTTTGATAAGTTTTTCTTTTTGCTTATAAGATTTTTAAGGTCGTGTGTTTATGAGTAATGACGTGAAGTTTATATATAGGTGAATTAAGGTCGTCGTTGCCATGTCACCAAGGACGTGGCAGCCGCGTCATATCATCAACGACATGGCATCGGCCTCAATAAAATGCATAATTTCGCATGATCTGGTAAATTTAGGTATGAAATTTAAATTTTTTAAAAAATTGTGTATATTATCGCACATAAGAAACTGTTAAATATGAATTGAACACTTGAATTTAGGTCAGGTATGAAATGACCAACTTTCTTTCGTATACCCATATAACAAACTTCCCATAAACGCCCTAATATATGACTAAATATGAATAAAAGTATTACTATAGTGAGTATCTCGTTCAGTAAGCTTATTATTTGAATATGACCTATATAAATGTTATTTTCTATCTACTATACTTAAAACTTAATTATTATTATTATTTGTATAACGTAGAAAGTTATTCAATAAAATTTAATTAAATATCTAATTATTTTATTTACTTTATTGCATATCACTAAGTTGTACTTTAAACATATGACAAAAAATGTACTTAGAAATTTTACTAGTGATAGAAAATTATATAAATCAATATTTATTTATTTTACATATATATCTTATTATTATACATATTTTCAACAAAAGAGATTAATGTAATATATATATATATATATATATATATATATTTCATTTTTATATTATTATATAATTATATTGCAAGATTTTCAAATTAATAAACTTAAGATTTATATCCGTAATATTTAACTAACTTTACCAGACTGGCTTCAATACTTAAATATCTACAGAAAAATCTACAACTACAGATAGCACAACTACAAAAACAAACCTATAGTGAAACAACCCGACCCGTTTTTTTTTAATTATATAACTAATATTCCCATAAATATTAATTATTTCTCCACATCCACATTTAATTCAACAACTCACAAAAATCACTAAATCGATCAAATCATTCTGGTTATCCTAAATAAACCACCAAATTCAAAAGTATTCAAAATAAAAACTAGCAAAATACCAATAACAATGCAACCATCAATTCCACATTTAATCAAAAGAAACCGTTAAATTCAACTAATAATGATCACGAAAATCAAGTCTTAGATCATCCTCCTCTCCTCGCTATGATTCCACGGTCAGACTTTATCTTTACCTGCACCAAGAAAAGAGATGCATAAGTATTTCAATAAATACTTAGTGACGCGATCCTCCCATCTACGAGCTATACACACAAGCAACTAGGATAAAAAATCAACACATAATTCATAAAAACAAACCAAACCAATGACAATCATCCAATAACACAACCATCTCATGGATTTCAATTCTGGACCCATCAAAAATCCAACCTACACATCACAACAAGCAATCATATAATCCCAATCGCTTAGATAAGCTCATGGTCAGGCACTAACCTCAGCTTAGGGATGATTTTTGAACAATAACAACACCACACAACCATAGTTGACTTCTTCCACACGTCAATAGTATCTCAAATCACCGTTCAATTTCCAATCCCACCGTTGAAACGATGCTCCTAGGTGTCCTAAACCTACCCACAAAATTTCGTGACGATCAGAAAAAGGATTCGCTCGCAATCTCACTTTGAACACGAGCTGGTCAAAAACGTGACTGAAACAGAAATGCTCACGAAAACAGGGATAACTCTTAGAATATTGACTCGAATCAATATCCGTAAACGGCTGTAACTAGATATAAGTCTTACCTACAATCCCTGAAAATTTCGTCACCTTTGGAAATGAATTGATATGACGGAACTCTGTTCTACCAAAACGTGTCCTGTCTGCCTCTCTTCTCTTTTCACCAAACTTCAACCTCTCCCACTTTCTCACACTAACAAGCTCTCTTCCTCTCTTTTTCTTTGCAGGTCACGACACAGGAGAAGAGGAGGCTTGTGTCGTGATATAGAGAAAAATAGGGTTCCCTGGTTTAATTTGATTAAACCAGGATTTTACTAAACCGAGAATTAATTAAACCATCTCTTTTGTTTAATTAATAAATCGACCCTTTTAGTAAACTAGTTGAAATTAAACTGACTCTACTTCAATTCCCGACATAAACCTCTATTTTTCTATTATTTTTCGGAACACGGGCGTTACATATAGTGTGATTGCTTGGGCGCTAACTACTTTCTAGAGCCCTTTTTATTTTTTCTAAAGCCACAAATTTGTACTAGTCATGCTCTGGCTATATTTTTAAAGTTAAAGTCCAAATTTTTTTTTTCTTTTTTCTTTGTTGTAGCAAGTAAAATCAACAACCAAGAAACTCTAGATTCTAATGTTGCCGGAAACTATTTCCTTCACTGGAAAGAAGTTTTTTTTGTGTGCAAAAAATAGAAACAACAGCAACAGGCTCGTTGTCTTAGTTCCTATGTCATGTGTATTGCACATGAGTCCTATTCATAATTTTCTAAAACTTGCCTCTCCATCAGGCCCGGCTCAAATTTTTATAAGGCCCAAAGCTAGAAAAAAGACAAATGATATGAAATGAACAACTTGTTTTAATTTAAGTATTTAACATATATTTTAAATTAATCAATCATTTATAATTATAAAATATCTATACATCAAAACTTAAAACAACGTGGGTGATTTGTTGGTTGTATCTGTAGATTATTTGCTGTAGAATTTGGCTGTAAGTGTGTAAGTTGTAATTGTAGATTTTTTTATTATTGTATATTTTGGTTGTAGATATAGATTTTAGGGATATAGAGTTTTGGGTGCAAATTTATTAGTTGTAACTAAAAATTATGATTAGTAAATATTAGAATTTTATATTTATAAATTATATTTTCTTAAATTATAAAATTATATATTATATTAAATAAAATTATTTAATAATATTTACTATAATATATAATTTACTATATATTATATAAAACTACCAACCTTCCTTTCATTTAACACAAATTGTATCATGCACATATAGGTTAAATGAAATCGATATAAAGACATTTGTATAAAAATATTAAATATTTTATTACTGTATATTTTGGTTGTAGATATAGATTTTAGGGATATAGAGTTTTGGATGCAAATTTATTAGTTGTAACTAAAAATTATGATTTTTAAATATTAGAATTCTGTATTTATAAATTATAATTTCTTAAATTATAAAAATATATATTATAGTAAATAAACTTATTTAATAATAGGGAAATTGTTAAAAATGCCCCTTTTGGTGTGCCCTTTTTCAAAAATGCCCCTTTTAGATGTCCATTTTCAAAAATGCCCCTTTTTAAATCTAAAATTTTTATAAAGTTTTATTCGGTTTATAAGGTACTTATGGATTGTAACTACTACTTGAAGACTCGATCCAAGTATTTATAAGGTTTTATAAGGTGTTTTTAAAGGTTTTACAAGTTATTTTAAAGGATTTTTAAGGTTTTTCAAAGGTTTTACAAGATATTTTAAAGGTTTTTAAAGGTATTTAAAATGCATTTATAAGTTATTTATAAAGTATTTATAAGATTTTAGATACATAGAAATGTAGTTTGTGTATGTTTTAATAATGTTACATACATATTTGGGTAAATCTTATATTTTTAAGAGCATTTTTTATAAGGTTTTAAAGAAGGGACATTTTTGAAAAGTGGCATTGAAAAAGGGGCATTTTTGCAAAAGCCCCTTAATAATATTTACTATAAGATATAATTTACTATATGTTATATAAAACTACAAACCTTCCTTTCATTTAACACAAATTGTATCATGCACATATAGGTTAAATGAAATCGATATAAACACATTTGTATAAATGTATAAAATATTTTATTACTGTATATTTTGGTTGTAGATATAGATTTTAGGGATATAGAGTTTTGGATGAAAATTTATTAGTTGTAAGTAAAAATTATGATTATTAAATATTAGAATTTTATATTTATAAATTATCTTTTCATAAATTATAAAATTATATATTATATTAAATAAACTTATTTAATAATATTTACTATAAGATATAATTTACTATATGTTATATAAAACTACCAACCTTCCTTTCATTTAACACAAATTGTATCATGCACATATAGGTTCAATGAAATCGATATAAACACATTTGTATAAATGTAGAAAATATTTTATTACTGTATATTTTGGTTGTAGATATAGATTTTAGGGATATAGAGTTTTGGATGCAAATTTATTAGTTGTAACTAAAAATTATGATTAGTAAATATTTGAATTTTATATTTATAAATTATAAAATTATATATTATAGTAAATAAAATTATTTAATTATATTTACTATAATATATAATTTACTATATGTTATATAAAATTACCAACCTTCCTTTCATTTAACACACATTGTATCATGCACATATAGGTTAAATGAAATCGATATAAACACATTTGTATAAATGTATAAAATATTTTATATGTTATTCATACAAGATCCACATATTAGTTAAAAAGAATATATACATATAAGTTTTTGTCGTTCAATATATACATATAAGTATACGCCTTGTTATAAAAATCGGCCGCCTAGGCGCTGATTGGAGGGAAACCATGGCGATCTTGTCTAAACCGGTAAAAAAAATCGCTGGTCCGATTTTTTGTCTACCTGGTCCGCCTAGACAGCGCCTAACCCAATTTTTTTTTTTTACTTTTTTTGGATCTAAAATTCAAAATGTCCTACTTGTATTCGTAATTTGTATAATCATAAATTTGAGCTTAAAGTCTTGTTTTCATTTGTTTAATGCAATTTTAAAACAATATTATATAAATTTCTTAATTAGAATGGATTAATATTTTTTAAAAACATTAAATAGCACTAAAACTAATCTCCGATCAATCTCCGTTTAATCTGCGATTTTCTTGCTAGGCGCTAGGCCCTACCCTCACCGCTCGACTAGCGTTTAGCGATTTTTTTAACACGGAGTATACGTATAAAAAATGGACTTTTCATCTACGTATACATATTGAGTTTATTGGCTATATATATATTTAGAAGATTTGATTAAGATTTTTGTAGTATTTTTTGGAGTATATATATATATATATATATATATATATATATATATATATATATATACTAGTATTTTTGCAGTCACTTTTGAGTCGGGTGGGTAAAATTATTCTCGGATACTTTGGATACCCGACCCGTTTACAAATTTTGGTCATAAAAAGTTTGTTGGGTCGGGTTATATTTAACCCAACTCATACACCAGATATTCCATATTTAATAATTTAGATATTTAGAAGATTTGATTAAGATTTAGAATTATGATTCTCCTATCATCTTTGTTTGATTTGTTTTTAACTGTTTTGAACCATCATATAATACATAAAGTAAAAAAAAAAATCAATTTTTTTCTGCATATACTGTGATTCGAAATTTAAAAAATGGACATATATTATCCAATTGATGAAAATGTGTGTTCAACGTTCTACATCGATTAAAATATTTAGACAATGATTCATAATCATACATAAATAAGATCAACATTAATAAAATTAATGAGTTTGTTGGCCGGACGGAATTGGCGGGACGGATTTTTGAATCAACAATAATAAAAAGATTAAAATTATTAATTGATAATATTACATAAAACAATACATTAATTAGAGGTAAAACAAAAAATTACCTATTTTTTGATAATAATATTTAAAATTATTTATTATGTTCATTTTAAAATCACCTACTTTAGAAAATATAATTTATTTTAAATTATAATTTTTGAGTCCGGATCTGAGAGCTCTGACGAAAAAATGAAAGATATAATTAACCTTTTAATGTACCAAGCGAATCCAATATGTAGTGTAAGATTCAATTTGTGGGAGTCGATGTGGATTGCTGCTTTTGTCCTTGTGAGCCGGCGATATCATTTGAGCTTCTAGAAGATGGGCCGATCGACCAATTTTAATGGGCCGAACTTCTCTGAATTTGGTCAAATATTCTTAAAAGATAAAATCTTCTTCTTGAGCTGGGTTTAAAATAAAAAAGACAAAAAATAAACTAAGATGTTTTAGGGGTAGGCCCATATCCAATAATAAACTATCAAAAGAAAATTAGTTTACTTCCCTTTATTTTTTTTTTTTATTTTTTTGAATAACTAAGATGTTTTAGGGGTAGGTTCGTACATCTCCTCAGACCAGAGATCTGCACATTTTATATGACCCCCTCCCAAATGTTACTTTTTTTTCTTCTTGTTAAACCATTTTAGATTGATTTTCAAAAATATTAGGAACTAATGATAAGTTCCATTAATTCTCGTTAACAATGAATATGGCCGGTCTTGATCCAAGCCTCCTTATAAGCTTTCTCACCATCCCACTCGCTACATTGATATGTTCAAACGTTATATCTGGAACAATAATCTTCAAATTCATGTCTCTTTTATAATCTTTAAACGATAGTTTTGCTCATGTTTGATGGCATATGTATATCTATTTGGAATAGATTCCACCTTTTCCCATGATGGCACCAGCAAAAGGGGCATCTACACTGATCTCGATAGTAGCAGAAACACCAATGATTGAAACAGAGCCTAATCCCGAATATTCTCTTCTTGAGAATCTGCCGCATGCACCACCATAGATCTTTGCATATTTCTGGAAACTTGATCAACCGGTGGTCGGAGATTTGTCATCTGAGCCCTAGCTTTGTACACACCACGAATATAGTGCAACTATGAAAAAGTGGCAATTGTCACCAAACGGACATCCACAAATGTTAGCACGAATGGTTCGTGTATAACCGCATTTTATTTTGTATGTAAACAATATCACTACGGATTGGCATGTTTAAGCTATCCAAGTAATAAAAAGATGTTGACCAAAAAAAAAATGAAATCCATAAATGATGCGATACAAAGCATAATCCA